TATGTGAGATAAAAAGATAATTGAAAAATGTGTTGACGATGCAATCATATCAGTGTGCGTGTAAATAAGGTGTAAATCAGTGTTTGCAATCAAATATGTTTCATGTACATTTTCACATTCGTGGATGTTTCAGCGTGTTAGTTGAGAGACTGATTCCTAATAATTTAATTGTCTTTAGGGAACACGGCATGTGGTTGACGCAAGTAAGGATAGCAATACAAATAAACAAGAATTTAATCCTGTAAGGGCCCCAAAAAACAAGGAAACTTCCCACCAAAGGGCAATTATTTTAGTTTATTCTTTGTAAACTTGGTAATAACATTTAGGAGGTTGAACATGATCGATGACGCCAAGAATCAAACTATTTTATTGCACCTATTGCATCAAATTGGCTTTAACGTTCATAAAGATTGAAAACCCCATCAAGTACACTTGGCCACTAGAAAGGTACAGCATATCATACATATTTTTGCTGCATAAAGTGCTGTTATAATATAGTGATGCATGCCCCCTTTTCAAGCTCCATTTGCATCTACATCAAACAGTTTCTTGTTTCTCCCCTCAAATTCTTGTCTTTTGTTCTTTAAATGCTCCCCTTCCCCCTCCTACCTTCTAGCCAGTTATGAACTATGAAGAATTACTTGAAACATTTGGAAAATTGAATAAATTCGTTCTATGGCAAATTCCATTGTCTCCTGTCTCAGGGATAGAAATTTCATGTATCGATCGATGCATTCAAAAACAAGATTTGAAAATGAGTAGTGTCTTTTTAGGAGTTTCAACAATTTGCCCTTTTCTTGAAGGCAAATGAAGTAAGAGAGAAAGATAGCATGTTATTCTACACTAGTGGATGTACTAAGATAGTTTTCTTTTCATCTTTTATTTATTAAGCTAAATGAGATAGTTTTGTATTCATCTTTCAAACTACTAAACCACCCCAATTATTTGGATCCTCAAGCACATGGCAACGCAACCTTCACTGACGCCCAGGACATCAGGAGCAATCCTTCAACTAAATTGTCTGAGACTCTTCAACCAACATACATAACTCTTGCTCCCAATTCCTTTTTTTTTTTTTTGGTAAAGCTCTCTGGTTTGGTTCAATTCAATAAACACCCACTGATAAAGAAATTGGTTTAAATTTAAACAATGCAGCTTCTAGATAAGTAGTAAGTATTGACCATGTCTTTTTGCAAGTGATTTACACATTCAACATCTTATGTGGCCCATGCACTGGGAAAAGTTTGCCTATAGGCATATATAATCATATTAAAAATTGAGTCAATGACAAAGATTGGTTGGGCCTTGGGAGTCTTGAAAATTATGTGTATGAAAGTATCCTAATATATGCTAAGTCAGTCATCCACTAATGATTCTCTATTTTATAAGCATCTATTTTATTGCTTAATTACTCAAGGAAGGTGTACCAGGTTGTGCATCGATTCAGACAGAGAAACTTTCTAATAAGCTTGTTTTCGGGGTTATAAGATTGGATTAATATAACAGATGCAGAATAGTTGCATCAAACTGATTAAGCCCAGCCAACTTCATGCATGGTATGACAAAAGAGTGGTATATGAATTTCGTATGCTTGAGCTAAGATACCAAGACGTACGGGGAATTTCATTTTGCTTGGGCAGTGAAACAGGATGGACTCTCAAATTCTGCTTTTCACATAGAAGAGTAAAACTATCATCGAGGTTCAATTATCCTACAACATTAATTGAGATTTCACTAGAATTGTATGATCACAGGGATAGAGGATTTTTTTTTTTTTGGGGGGCCAGGGGAGGGGGGTGGGGTTTGAATTCCTCAGCTTGTATGCTATTACTAGTCACACATCCATGTCTGCACATCGTACTAAAGGTTAGAGATGCAAATGAGTCAAGTCGGCTCGCAAACACTCAACTTGAACTTGATATGATTGAACTTGATGTGAGTCAAGCGAAGATGCTTTGATTGGATGGCTTGTCACTTGTCAGGCCTAATGATATATATATATATATATATTTATCTAGCTTATTGTTTAAATTTATATATAATTATCTTTCGTATTTGAACTTGATTAGCCCTGAACTCTTGTTTGAGTTTTACATCAGGAACTTGATCGTGTTCGAATCTAGTATGCTGAAATCGAGTTCAATTCAATTAGATCAAAACTTATTTCAACTCAACTCGTCTGTAAGTAAAATAGAAACTGTCTTGTGTATAGATTTAGTATGTTTATGGAATTGTATATATACCTGTATCTTCTTGCTGCTTTGTGTAAGCTTACAAATCTACATCAATAAAAGTCCAATTTTTTGTAAAAAAAAAAAAGAAAAAAGAGAGAGAGGACAGAAACTGTGGAGCATCCCTCAAAAGTCCAAACAAGGAAGCAAGAATTAATCCTTTTCACTTGTCAAAATTGCAGCTTCCGGTCTAGCTAGGGAAAAGAAAAAGGAGTGTGAAATGGACCAATTCAACTCAGCTAAAATCTATCTTGCATCATATCGATATTGATGACTTGGTTGTCTCTAACGAACTTTGTGTCTTCTGTCGACTTCAATCTTTTCCCTTTTCTCTTTACCTTTTTCCTCCCTATCTGCCCCCTTCTCAAACATTGGAGGAATACAGAAAAAATAAAAATTTACTTCAGACTTAAAGCAGTAGAAACAGAAACTAAAAGGGGCGCTGTCGCTCGGGCCTTTTTTTTTTTTTTTTTTTTTTTTTTGCTCTCAAACTTTCGATAATCACTCTAATGCACTAGCAGTAATTTCTCAGCAACCCCCATCTCTCCCACTCTGCTTTTAGTATTATGAAATTAGATTTTTCTTTAAAAAATTAAGATTTTTTTCCTCTTAAATATGGACCATATCTTGTTGGATTGACTATGAAGTCAGGAAGAAGTATTTAAAAAAGACCTCCAATAGTTAATCCAAAGTCTTTTCGAAGACTCAAAAAGTTGTAAAAGATAAGAATTTGACAGATTTAACAACGTTCAAGTTGTATGTGTCCTAACTTCTAGTTCAAGTTCATCGTGATCGTTAAGCAAGGGGTGAAGACAAACCAATGACGTTAACGGTGCGTTTGATAAAATTAAAGTCTGAAAATTGAAATTTAAAATTTAAATCCATTAAATTATTGAATTATTAAGTATTAAATCTAATACATTTGAGTGCATATCACATTCAATGATAAGCGAATAGCTTATCACTTAATTTTGGGAACAAGTTTTGCCTAGAAAATTCTGTGCCACTTAATTAATTCAGATGTTTAATTTTTGGTTATCAAACGGCCTGAATATGTTAAAATCTTAATTCATGAAATTTAAGTGCTGAATTGAGTTATCAACCTGCTGCTGCAACAGCATAATTAAATACTTGTGACTTAGTGTTGGATCTTTAGAGTATCAATTCTGATAGAGACACATTTGGTTATTAATATAACAGTTTGGAAAACAAATCAGGATCTTTGAATTTACATGTAATGAAGTCTAAATTACCAGGAAATGGAGGTGACTGGTGAGGCTACAATCAAACATGTTCATGATAATTTCTCTGCACTATACTAGAGTAGAATATGCGTTACCGCGTCTATTTTACACAGGAGGGATGCTTTTTCTATTTGTTCACACCGATCAGCGGAAAAAACAACCAAATCATAGGAGAAACCCGTAGAAGGAGACGAACAATCAAAGCAACATTTCCCATGCAGCATGAAGAAAAATAGGAGACTAAGCCATCCAAATGAAACTGAGATATAGGAAAGTATCCGAGTGTTTGGATAGCACTGCTATTATCTCAAATAATATTTCGCTTACATTATAAACACATTTTTCAACCTACCCTTTTATATTCCCAATCACCTTTTTATCTCACAAACATCACATCACAAAAAGTGCTACAGTAATTATTCCAAATAATATTTTAAATAATACCCTATCCAAACATGTTTATGTAAGTTTCAAGCGCAAAATTATTGACTCTAGATATATGATGGCAAGCTAACAGGATGAGGATCTCATTAGCAAGAAGTGGAGGAGGAAACCCAGTGTGTAACTCGATACCTGTGCGATCAAATAGAGGAAAAAGCTAAAATAAATTGGATGATAGAACTGATTGATCGTCATCTATCACCAGACATATTGCTAATTGCTGTAAATGTAGTTCCAGATCAAAGGTGCTAATGGCAGCAAAACCATGCATAGAATGTTTCAGAAAATGAAAGAGTTAACGAGGTCTGAAGAAACAGTTGATTTATGTCTGAAAGATTATTACTATTAGCCATTAGGAAGTCAGAAACTAGGAAAGGATAGTTTCTGAGGCATCAAAAGAAATCAAGAATAATGTTTTTCTTTGATATGGGGCACTATTATTCTCAGTTTCTCAAAAGTTCATCTACTCTATGGAAGGAAGATATCATATGTGATAACTAAGATGCAGGCGGTAAACAGAAACAAACAACTAGATTCTGAACAGATATATTTGGCTTGTTTTTGTAAATGTTATTACTTTTCCATTCATGTTTTTGAGGGACCTGAATAATTTCGCCTGATATAAATTAACCATAAGCCATCGTCCTGGGATGAGACTTCCATTAGTTCATCATGACTACTCAATTGAGTTTCAACACACATGCATGCCAGTTTATGGTCCCTCCTCTATTTAACTTTCTGCTTTGACTGTTTCTCCATTCCTCTTTTATTTTTCTCCTTTCATCTCCTATTTGTCAACGGTGGCATAGTAAAATGGAGGCAGAGTACTTTTTCTTTGATTGCTTGTCCGCTTTTCGTTTTTTAATATTTACCATGGGATTCTCAGTATGTATTCCAACCAACAGATCAACAGCAAATTGTGCCGCCAAACTTGTTGCATTGCTTCTCCTACAGCATGAAACAACATTCTTGATTCTTTTTTGATAATGCGGATTACAAAACTGGAGTAAAACATATTAGGGAGCTTAAACAAAAGGGAAAAAAATATATGCACATAGATCCTAATAGAAACAACTAGGTTAAGTTTTTTTTTTTTTTGCCTATAAAACATGATAGGCAAAAACAAAAATGTCAACTCTGCAGTGTCATAATGGTGTTCTTCTGTAACCTCACTACAAAGGCCACAATAATCATGTCAAATGGGCACACCGCCTTGATGAGGTCACTCTTCCCATGTCTGTTTCATAGCAACAAAGTCCACCCCAATCAATAAGTAGTTCACTTGAACCTATTGCTTCTTCTCTACCGCAGCAATTGGCTCCTGCAATAGGGACTTAATTCAGAATTCAAAGGCAGTGGAAGAATAACATCAAACTTCTAAACTCTACATGGAGCTTTAAAGGTGACGTTTGGAAGGATAACAGTTGTCTGCTGACTAATCAGGTCAAAGGATCATAGAGCGACAGCCATCTATATAATACGTAATTTGCAATTTAATCCCAATACATGCTGCTGTTTAAAACCTCCCCGCTACAAAATTGTAAAAAAACATGGCCTGATGTAACTGAATAATACTGCAAATGAACGGAATCTCGCTCCAAATTGAGAATTATGTGAACAGAGATGCTGATCTTACACTCAAAAGTAGCCCAGCGAGAGGGAGGCACAAGTGTGCGATTCTGTTTCACATCTGAGACATAGAGCAAACCAAAGAGATCTTGTTCAGTACCAACATTATTTACAGAAGCAGTGTTTTCATTAACAAGCCCGTCTGTGGTGGGTGAAACCATGAGTTCTGTAATGTCCAAAGAACCCTGTTCGTAAATAAACAATGTATGAGATTCTGACGTCAAAACCTCCAAATAGATTACATGAAAATTGAAACTAAGAAGCAGGAAAAAAACAAAAAACTAATCAGATTAACAGAATTGGAATCTAAATTAAGCAATCTGCATTATATGGAAACCTACTGAATGTAATTTGATATACAGCGCCTTAACAATTGAATTATTCTCAGTTAGCAGCACTAATGGCTGATGGTAGTAGTAATGACAGCCAATATATTTATAAAAAAAAAAAAAAAGTTCTAGAATTATTAGGCTTTATTAAAATGCTATAATCAAGTTCAAGTTGCTTCCTGTTGCTGCTTTTAAACTCTTAAGTGTTTACGGAGTACCATTTCCATTAATCAATTGGTTTTCATCTTTTTAGCCAATTCAACTCACAACCCCTGCTTTTTAGCTTTTGCTTACGGTCATCCTGTGGCTAATCTACACCTGTCTCGATCCCTTAAGAAGCTATGACTTCTTTCAGTTCTAGTTGCCCATTAAATCTTCAATTTTCTGGTCCTAGCAGCACAAGTTTCTTATATAGCTCTATTCCATTGTTCTTGTCTTGTTTCTGTTCAATGCTTTTTCCCCATAGCCTGAAGCGAGCAGTGAAAGCCAATTGATGCTTTAGTGGGGTGCAAACTCCACCCCGAGTTGAAAACTCATTTATGGTGTGGTTTGTGTGGATTATACATTTTGGCCAACATAAATTACTCTAAAAGTTGAAGAAATTCCATAGAATGTGGGATACAAATTAAAAAACTTGGTATTACCGTACGAGGTCTTGCAGCAAGACCAATTTGTGACATATGCTTGCTGAACATTTCTTCCTCCAGCGAATATTTTCTAGCTTTCCTTGGCATGCCATTTCTAGTGCCCGCCGCGGATTTATCCGTGATCGAGCTCTTTTCACCTACTGCATGAATTGGTTGAGTTGCTTTCGGCGAACTCCACTTTTTTTCTTGATATCTAAATACTACAGTGGATTAGCTGCAAACAGCATGGAGATTGGGAGCCAAAAAAAGAAGAGCAAGTTTGTTTCTAAAACCGCAGAAGAGGTTCAGAAGAGAAGTTACTTGGCACGGATAAACTTTTCCATATTGCTTCTATCAACGTTAAGTGGCAACTCTGCCTCCCAATAACTGTTAGCTTTTTGGTTGCCCATTGCTAGACAGAAAGTCATGATTATAGAGCAATTAGTAAGCCTATAAAGCAATTACAACTTCAAAGAAACTGCAATTTATCCATGGAAACATCAAAATCACAACAGCATATACTTGTGAAAAATGACAAAATCGAATTATTGACACCAGTTCCACTCCTTTTCATGGAGACGGTTAGAAGGCATGGAGAAGATGAATAGCCAAGTCCATGGTGCCAGTCCTCTATTTGAGCTAACAGTGAAAAAAAGGGCTGTTTCTTCTTTCCTTGCTTCTAGACTTACAATCCAATGCGCACTTGAACAGACAGGATTGAGGCCCCAAAATTTCACCAGAAATCTTTGTAAACATACGCTAATATATGGAAAATTTATTATTTGATAATGGATCAAAAATATCTAGCTCAAACAGAAATCTGCAATCAATCAAAAGTTCTTTTAGATGCTTTAATGCATATAAGATGTGAAGCACTAAGAACAAAACAGATTACACAGCTTAAATAACACAAATTGATAAAAGCTGCTGTTATCAACTTATGGAAAGACATGAAGAAAGAGTGCCAAAACTTGCAAAATGATTTGTAAAAGATGGAGAGACATACATTGCATAAATGCAACCTGCTCGGGTAGCCACGTATCTAAAGTTGTAGACCTCACCTATTTTGTCAAAAAAAAAACACACTTAGTAAGGGAACAAAGATAGGACTGAGGAGATAGTTAGCACAAAGATGGATATCACAAAGGATAATGCACACCATAAAGCAACACAGGTGAGTTTTACTACAACTTCATGTTCTACTGACTAGACAAACAGACGAATGACTACAAGTTTCTGAGTTTTACTAATGTCTTGAGCTGTTGCATGAATCTCACAAATTGACAGTGCATGAACCTTCTAAAGTGACTCTTACTTCATGCATTGTAAATTGAATATACAAATAACAAAAATGTAACCTTTGATATATGTACTCCAAGACTCCGATGAATTCCTGAACATTGCATACATATGAATATCCCGAGGTTGACGCTTGCCCATCGTGGTGCCCTGCAACCACACAAATCGCTTCACTAAGAACTTTGTGGACTCAATCTACATGAGACTTAGTTAAGACAGCACAGCTTAAACTAAACTAAGAACACAGAATCCACAAGCACAAAAAACCGTTAAACATTGCTTCAAGAAGGTAAATGATACATACAACAACAAAAAATATGCATTAATTGCTTCTTAGACTTATCAATATAGTACACAGCAAGTATATATCATGCAACGCATCTAACATTAGTTCCTGAATCCATACTTGCTCCGACAATCTGCGCACTCCCGATTCTCTGGCAGCTTTAGGAGGCCCTCCAATATCTGCAAACATTGCATTCATGCATCAATAAATATAACTTCCTGAAAATCATTTCTTCAACAGTGGATAAAAAGTTGCATAAGTAGCAGCTGGCCACTTTTTTAAGTTGATAAAACCTCTGTCCTCACCATTTTACCAATTAGAAAATATCTGTTAAAAAAAGAAATGGTGAGAACACAGAGGCGATCAACCTTTGGAAAAGCAGCAAGCTATTATTATAGCTAACTTTTTGTGAATCCTTCTTAGTAGGAAATATACTCGTTTACCATCTGTTTTAGTTCTCCTTGGCCACAATATTACATCCAAAATCAAGAAAAGAAAAAGATTAAACCCCCGTGCAAAGAGGTCTCAGCTTGATCAATGCAGATAAAATGACATAGAAAATGAACCAAAACGGAAAGGGTGTCACCTTGGCATGTTTAGCATTGAGTTCTTTCGAAACTCCAGCCTTCTCATTCATATCTATTGCTGCTGGTTCTTTATTTTTCTTTTTTTGGTGAATTATCACTACCAGAAATAAAACCAAAAATAGAAGAAAAGAAAAAGGCTACTGCTCAGAAGGGGGGAGGGAGAGAGAGAGAGGAGGATTTCTCTCTCAGTCTGTCTTCTGAGTTTCTTTCTCATAAAAAAGTGTGTGAAATTGCGCGTTACCTTTGATGGCCCTTGAAGGGAACCGAGTATGTTGGGCGGCTCAACATATTCAAAGGAGAAAACAGTTATAATACTCCTTGAAAGTCGGTTACCCTGCCAACGGCCAAATGGACTTTTAGTTCTTCTCCCTCTCTCTCTTTTCTTCTTTTTTTTTTTTTTTCTTTTTCTCTTTTTTTGGGGTTTTACATTTTCCCTCTCTAAACATTAAATACTCGAAGTTGCCTATGTATCTCCTTTTCCCCTATTATGGTGACGAGTTCAGAAAAAATGTTCTTGAAAGTGATTTAACTAATGGCCTAATGCTCTTTAGTATTTTGAGTTTGTAGTTGCAGCTCAGTAGTTGTAGTAATGGCCTAATGCTCTGTAGTTGTAGTATTCCCTTAATGCTTCTGATCAGTGGTTTTAACTTTTTGGAGTTGGCTAAAATTCGATCAAGATTCAGTATCCTCCAAAAGGGAATTAATCTGGTGGAGCAGACTCTTGAAAAACAAAATATATAGTTATTAAGATGTGATGTGTAGTTCTTAAACTATTGAGGATTTGTTGCTAGAAGAACTCGCATGAACAAAACAAAAAAGGGCATTTATCTTGGCAGATGGAGTCATCATCTTACCTTAATCATCTAGTTAATTAATACTAAACCTAAATGACATGAAGCAAGACTCACACTTAAGATCGAGCTAATCCACGTCAAAAAACTTTTGACTTGTCAGATTTTCTTTTTCTTTTTCTTCTTTAACAAAAATTAACTTCAATTATGTTCCGAAGCATCGGATGAAGTTCCTGGACGAGCCTCACTTCTCTTTTTTTTTTTTTTTTGTCATCGTCACTTTATCGAATGAAGTTTCTGGACGAGCCTCACTGCCTGAGCTTATCTTTAACATCTGCTGTTGTTATTTGTACTCGAACTTGGTCTGAGATCTGGCAATCAGAAAGATACTGAACCAAATAGCTTTGTCACATGGAAGCAGCCTTCCTTCCCAGATTGTTACAAATCAACGGATCGAACTGATGGTAGAAAATATCCCCAGGTTCAATGCTGAAAAGCATCTACTCTTCCAGCTATTGCTTAAAACCAATTAGTAAAATTCCCTCATTAGCAAGCACAACCATGTAAAACAGCTATGGATATAGCATAAACAAGCCCTTTAGGCTCATTCGGTTACATATACTTTCCCTGACAAAAAATCTCTATTCTAGTTCAGTTATAATTTGTGGTATGCCAAATAGAAAAAATGGAAGGAAAGAACTAAGCGAGCCAACAGGGTATATCCATCATCTGGCACCAAAATATGCTGATCAATTATCACATGAAGAAAAGTTTCTGTCTGCCAAATTTTCAAAGTTAATCACAAATTCAGTTTAAGCCTGTAGAACACTATGTTGAGTTTGTGTAATTCTTCTGTCCAGTTCATCGTGGAAATTGATGCACTTGGGAAGAGGAGGAGGACTACAGGGAGGGAATATTCAATAAAACTGAATATAAGGAATTAAACCAAGTTCTCAACGTTCAAACAGAAAAGGTGGTAGCTGCCGTTAGTTCTAAATCCAACCGCATTGCATACAATCCCCAGTACTGATACTTCCTGCAACAATACAGGAAACTTTTAAATGCAATATAAGAAGAATAGGAAGATGTAGAAGAATCAGAATAGAGAAGGCATCACTAGGAATGACAAGCTAAAGTTTAAGCAAGAATGCAAATCAACCAACAAAAACAGATTTAGCACCCTATAAATCACCTATAAGAAACAAGACTTCGCTTTGTTCAGTCTAGTCTTTGATGACCAAAATATGATGCATCCTTCCAAAATGCTATTAAAAAGCTACATTATCCTGCCAGTTTTTTGTGCCCCTCAATCAGTGGAGCACCATCAAATAGAGGCTCTGAGTACACTTATAATTCATGTGTTGAAAATTTGACAATTAGGCAGCAATTTTTGTCACCTTTTCTTAAGTTTGACTTAAGAACCTTTTGCATTATCCACTAAATCATCCAATAGCCAAATCAAAATCGAATCTTCCCTTAGTTGGAAAAAAGACTCTGGTACTGTTGCTTTAAGTTGTTTACCCAATCAATTAAATCCTCTGAATGTAGAACATCTTTCAGCTTAACTCCTAAGAGTTCACAAAAACAAGGTGAAAGAAGGAAAATGATACTCAATTGCTACACGAAGATGTAAATTCAGGACCAAATAAGAAAACTTTCAGAGAGGGGGAAAAGAACCCACAAAAAATATGTTGAACAGATCCAAACTTCATCTAAAATATACAGAAAACAATAAAAGAGATGAAAATAGTAGGGAAAAAATTAAAATCACCAAGCTCTATACTGAGCTTTCTCTAAACCGAAAAACAAAACACTAACCCCTAAAAAAAAAAAATCCAAACTTTATCCAAAATGCAGAGAGAAAAATAAAATAAAAAGCCGAAATTTTACAAAAAAAAACAACAGAATCAGCAAGAGCTCTGCTCTGGGATTCTTTATTCATATAAGGAGAACAAAGAAAAAGGAAGAATAAATCTCACCTTTATTCAGAAGCTGCTGAATGATCAATTGCTCAGACCAGCTTCTCTGGGAGTATTTGCCTTGATAGAGAGAGCATGCAAACCAGACTGAAGCTCGTCGGATAAGAGATCATAGACCATACGGTGTCGTTTGACTAGGTTCTGGCCGTCAAATTTGCTAGAAACGATTTTGACATTGAAATGGGTCTCGCTTGCGCCGCTGTCTTTGACGGCTGCGTGGCCGGCGTGCTGGTATGAAACGTCTTCCACATCAACGACGGTTGCTTCCAGCGCCGATTGAAGCTTCGATTTGATTCTGCTCGCCCTTGAAAGTAACCCTCTTGACGCCATTTTTTAAATACAAGTTAACTTCAGAGCAGGACTGAAATTTACGAACTCGTAGATGGAGAGAGAAATTGATGGCTTATCGATCACGAGCAAATTACCGGTAGTACCTTGGTTTTTCAAGATTTCAAGTGTAGGCCTAGTTTGGGGCATTTTACAGATGAGTACCTTCTATTTTTTTCTTAAATAAAACTAAAACTTCCTGTACAGTGGAAAAGCCCTAAAAGTTGAGAATTATTTTTTTTTTTTAAAGAACAAATTATCTGGACGGCCACTAAACTTTTGCAACGTTGAGTTTTTGTCATTAAACTATTAAAAGTTTGGTTTTGAGCACCGAAATGTCTAAAGTTAAAACTTGAGGTCATTCTGTTAGATTTAATCATTAAGTATGCCAAATCAAAGTGCCTGCGGGATTCCCAAAGCATAAAAATGCCGAATTTACTGCCCTTTCAATTTGCTTTTTCCAATTATCCCTGCTCCTCAAATCCAATGGCACCAGAATTTTCCTCTTCTTCTTATAAAAATGCTTCCCTAAAACACCTGGAAGCAACGAAAGAACCCTTTTATCTGCAAAAAAACATGTTATATGATTGATACAGCTTTCGTTTTTCCTTCAGAGTCTTGCAATCTGATTTCAACTTGGACAGCTTGACAACCATATCAATGGGAATATCCTCGGACTTCACCTTCTTTTGACCGAATTCTGCAGTAATTTTATATCGGGATTTGATGGGCCAGTTGTCTATAATCAGATAAAGACTAAGGTTATCGTCAGCCAGAGAGTGAAGCGAGTTTATGTGTGAAATTTTGTGAGGTATTTTGGACGAATCTTTTGGTGGCATTTTATTGAGAGTCAAGAGGAGCTAAATGAAATCTTCTTCTTCATTACCATCTTCATCTTCGAGAAATTCTTACTTTTCTTCTTCTCTTGCAACTAGTTTATGATGGGTTGTTCTGGAGTGGAGTTTTCTCCATTTTATAAGAGTTTTTACTGCTTTTGTGACTGTTGCTTGGCTGATTCTGTCTTCAGGAGAAAGAGGACTAGTTGAAACCATCAACATAGGAGTACGTGACCAATGAATGGATTGGAGGACGGAGGCTGTGGACGGCGGCAGCTTACTCCTCCTTCCTCTAACCCAAGTTGGACTTCTTCCATTTCCTTGTCCCTCGTTGCAGTAGCAATATATTTTGTGGTTTCATGGTTACTCCTTCTTTTGGTTTATAGAATAAGAAGAAGAAGAAGATACATGTGAAACATCCTAAATTGCCCATTTCTATTGTCTTGAAAATCGCACGAGGCAATCAGATTTAACATACTTAACGACTAGTCTTCATTTTAGACATTTTAGTGGTCAAAATCAAATTTTTAATAGTTCAGTGACCAAAACTCGATGATTGCAAAAGTTTAATGACCATCTGGATAATTTGCTCTTTTGAAAAATAAGTTTTTCATATATAGTGCTACAATAATACACAAATAAAAATAATTTAAAAAATATAAAAAACACAAAAAAAAACAACCTCAAAAACACAAAAAATAACTTCACAAACACAAAAAACATAAAAAAATAAACTCAAAAAACACCAAAAACACAAAAAATAACCTCATTTACAATAAAAGTTTTTTATATACATTGTTACAGTAAAATATTTCAAAATAGAAAAAATCATGTTATTCACTAATTTCATTATTTTGTATCAACTATTATTTTGTATTTGTTATAGAAACAGCAATCACAAGGAGTTATGTGTAACTTTCTCAACCTTAAGGGAGGTGAATGAAATTATTAGATACAATTGTATGAAAATCAGCCCACACATGAATGATGTTGTACAAATGTTGAGAAAAGGATAAGAGAGGGAAAAAAAACCTCATTAGATAGCTTGTGGTACACCTCTCACGCGTAGAGGCTTTTTCTCTCTTTTGGGAAGAGAGCTCCTTTCCCCTTGGTGGGAACCCCAAACTTTTGAAAAAATTCAAGCAACCAATGAA